GCTCTGGCTTTGCTTTGTGTGAAAAAGGAATCAACCTTTTTGCAATACATATGTAGGTATACAATATAGAATTTTACGTTTTGCCAAAACGTAAAAACCAAAAGTGAAAAACCCTTGACTTACAAAACAGTATCATTATTTTCATTCTAATTTTTATGCGGCGCCTGAGTCGTTGTTTTCCATTCCGACTCACTCGAACATTTTTATTCGGTGACTTTTAATGTACACGTGGGATCTATTACATCTATTACGAAAGCCGAGAAACAAAACACGTTTGCCGCACAGCGTGTACTGAGATCGAGAGATGTAGAGTGTGAGAAAAAAAAACCCGGAGAGAATGGGACAGTGAAAATGAATGCGAGCGACCGAAAGCGATAGCAACACAACGAAATGAAAGTAATATCGCATTCGCATATGTTTATCCATTATAGATGTGAAACGGTGTATGGATGTGGAACATCACGATATATGCACAAAAGTTTTACTCTGTTACTTTGTGACTGGGAGTGAGTGAGAGAGACAGAGAGAGAAAAAGAGCAGGAGACAAGTGTCAGTGGGAGAGTGAGAGCGACAGAGTGGGTCTGAGTTTGTTGTCTGAAATCGTGTGCCTTCGTTAATAAAACTGTAACTCTCAATAGGATATATTGCAGATTATAAATACAATGTTAAACATATTCGTTTGCTGGAATGTGGCAAAGACATTCTTTGTACCATAGTAGGTTTTCCACTTTATTGGCTAAACCCACGTTGCCCCTCATCAATACCGTCGCCATCTATCGCCCTGTACATTTGTATGAAATGTGTGATTCGTACATGCAGCATATTTCAGTAGAGAAAAAGTGTTTATCATTTGGTTTTCGATTATATACACAATTTCGACCGCACGAAAGCCAATCAAATCCAAATACAATACAAGGGAAATTACATACACACTAGTCAACATATACATTGAAATGTACTTGAACAAAATACATCAATATACATATGCGCACTATACTGGGATATACCCAAGCTAGAGAAAAACAAATTAAATGACAACCAAATAAATGTTACTCACTTCAGCTGGGCGATGTGACACACACACGAGAACATTCGGTACATGGTTTTAACCGATTTTTCCCCGGGGAATCATCTGTTGCAATAATTCTATGCCGCACTTAATCTCTATCGTTCACTCTTACTCTGTTTTCTTTATCATAGCCAAATCAATGCAAAGAAAATAAAACAGTACTCGTCGTAACAATGCAGAAAATATAAAATCTCAGTCTCTCTTTCTCTCCCCTTCTCACTGTATCATTACATCTTTCTTTTTTCTTCACAGTAAACACGATGGTTCTAACTTTTAGAACCGCAATATGAAATTTGACACTAAAATCCATTTGAGTACCATTTGTACTAGAAAAAGTTCAAAATGAACTAAATCAAAAATCAAAGCTTCATGTATTTATTATAGAATTTTTGAACTTTTTCTATGGCAAATGGTACTAAAACAAAGTTAAGTGTCAAATCTCAACATTGCTAGAATCATTGTGTTAACTGTGCTATGTTGTTTTGGCCCTAACATCGTATGTGCTCTCAAAATCAACTACAATCTACGTTTCGGTGGCGAGCAACTGTAAAACCTTAGAAAAATTTACATTCAATGAAAGCAAATCCATTTCCTTTACCAAATACCTTGAAATTCACGGATTTCATAAGGATCTGCGAGTAATGAGATAGAAAAAAATAACAAGCATTTGCTTTAGCCCACAAAGCACTCAAACATTAATAAAGCTTAGCAAGCAAGCAAAGGAGTCCGCTTCGTTTCGTTTCGTTTATTTTAAATGGATTGCTATTGAATCATAGAAATATGCAATTTAACTGTGAACTTTACATAATTCGATGATTTGGTTTTGTATGATGGTCAGGCCACCACCACCAACAACATCATTACCCCATGAAAGTACAGTATACGAAAAATTAGACAGACAGGCGGAGGTATAGCGAATGAGTTTTGGCAAGTTTCAAGGTGTTTTTCTTATTTGCTCAATGTTTCACATCTTCCGGTCGAATTTAATATCGCATTCGACATTCACATCATTGTAATATTTCAACGAATGTTTCATCAGGTTTTTCTGTTTCACTTTCCATACAGATTTGCGGAATCAACAAAGCTAGTATCATTGCATTTGGATTACACCAATTTATTGTTGCAGGCAACTATATTTCATGACATGGAGTGTACGTGTAGTTTTGGGGGCGAAATAGACACGACGATATCAAACGAACTATGAACACCAGAATGCTGAATTATCCAAAATGTTTTATTCGTCGAATTTCGTAGCTTTAAATTCCGTGCAAGTGTTCAGCACCGCATAGTACAGCACGGGCTGGCAGCAGCTTGGCCAATTATTTTGTAGCCGCTTGAAAAATGCACGATGGCATATTTGCACAAGCAAATCAAAATGGATTTTGTATATTGTACCGAACCATGAATGGCGTGATTTCATTTAGTTTTCGACTATGGCCAGCTAAATAACCTCGTTCGCATCAATTTTCGCATGAAGAAAAAATACATATACAAAAATATCCTAATAAAATTAACACTTCAATTGTACATAAATCTACGTTTCAATGAGGATACAATGGTACAATCAGGAGTTTCATTCAAATCCGTGGTGTACTTGTACATTATAATTCAGTTACAATATGGGGTGCCAAGATCAATCCGGTCGGCTACAATGTATTATTTGAGCGCTGTGTATTTCGTTCGTCAATTGACTTTTGGATAATTTCCTAATTTTAAATGAGTCTATGAATATACTTTTCATGCCATTGTAGTGATACGTTTACAAGTTGAGAATCAACGTAACGATATTTTTGCTAAAGGCATTTTCTTTCTGAAAAAAAAATCCAGAGAAAAAAGTTTTTTTAACGCTCTTAATCCAAATAAATAGCAGAAAAAAAAAACATGAACCATACTCTTTTAGAATGGGCTCAAAGCGAGTTTTTACACGCATTTCAGACCGAACGAAAATATACTGAATATAAATGGTAGTGGTGGCTACGATAGGGGGTCGAACAATATATATATATATATGTATGTGTGAGTGTGAGAGAGTGGGAGGGAAGAAGGAAAAGGAGACAGAGTACAAAAAGAATAACAAAAATTTACAAAACCAAATGGAATGGTCGTTTATAATGGAGCTTTTTCCAGTGCTACATACAAATTTAATTAAAGTTTTTATATGTGCACAGAGCAGCTTCGAGCAATTTCCGAGCACTGCTTATGACCAGGGCGCACATTTCAAACCTCATGAAATGCGTGTTAATCACACTAGGACCAAATAAAACATGCAAACTATCGTCGCGCTAACACGTTAAGCCAAAGACAAGTTCAATAATCGTGTCTCCATCTATAATAGATGTCAATAACTATCAAAAGCTATTCCACGATAATCAACGTTCGATTTTGTTTATTTTCAAATTTATGCGAAAATAGTTTAATATCGTGCCGCCACCTGCTCCATTAGACTTATAATCATTTTTCATCCATGGCATATGCATTGTACATATCCAACTGGCCTAACCTTGTACAGAGAATATTCACTAACCACTTGGCTTGCTATGGACATGCACAAAAAACAACAATAATAACAACATCAATGAGCAAAATCAACTGTAGCACTTCAAGGCAAAATTTATAGCATATAGTATAGTTGTAAAGCATACCACGACCGCAAAACACTGCAGAGTTTACAAGGCTTCAATGAAATTCGATTTTGTTTCACAAGCGATAGTAAAGCACATCGAGAACGTGGTATTTCATGCAGGCAATATCGATAATTGCTCAGTAAAATATTGAAAACTCATAGAGTGCTGTAAAATTATCACCGACAGTTAAAAACCGTATCGTTAAACGAGTTGCCAGGTCATAGCAAAACACATACACACTGTGTGTCACGCCGTTCATCCTGTTACTGCTGTGTCATCACATTTTTAAAACTGCCATAAATATTTGCCGCCTTTTTTTTCTGTTTTTTTTTCTTCTGCTAACGGTAACTTTTATTCACTGCTTGTGCTAACATGTGTTGCACATATATTTCTTGAATAAATTTCCTCGTTAATGCGATGCTCATAAAGGGCGACAACGATTGTTTACAAATCGAGGTGTTAACACTCAAATTCACCATTTTCATATTTATCGAAATTGTAATAACATAAAAAATGTCTATTTCCGAGAGAGTGAAAAGAAAAGAAGTCAGTACTCAATATGAGCGACTGATATCGCGTGAAGAAGTGAGTAAAAACATACCGATTTCGTAGTTTTCAACACCAGATGCAACAACACATACACATATATAACAAAATTGGTCACTTATTAAGAGGAGGTATCTGCAAACAAATTATATAAATTGGGCTTCCACTCCATTAGCAAATGAGTTTTGTGCCGCATTTAATCATCGGCTCAAAACATTGCAAATAAAAGACCATTTTCAATTTCAATGAAAGCATATGGTACACTTTCAATCATTCGAATCGAACGAATTTAAATTGAACATTTTCGAAAATTCGAATTTCGTGCGTGGATAAAAAAGAGTTATATTGAATTTATCTAGTAGTTTGCTTTAGTCACTTCATTTTTGAGTGATATCTCCGTTCTGTTTCGTTTAGAATGGTTTGAAAAATGATTCGGAAAATTGGGAACTGGTACCCGATTCTATTCCGAATATTGGAATTTGAACTTTCTGCAGTTCGATCTAATTGAAACATTAAGCCACTCATTTAAGCAGCATCAACTTGACTATTTGAAAATAATTTTAGATATTGTTGTAACTGTTTTTTTTGTTCTTCTTTTCCAGTCATTTCACGGCTTGTGAGTTGAGAATTCTTTACGTATGGAGTATTTCGACATCACTCAATTTACGTCACAATATTTGAATTATTTGAAATAAAATGTGATTGGCTTAATGTTGATTTAATTTAGAAAAATTAAAATTAAATGATAGTCAAGCACTTACTTGTGTTGTATCCATGGAGAGAGAAGTTTCGGTTGAAATGACGGCAATCGCAATGTTCCAATTTTTTCACTGGCACGTGACAAAAATAGCAGCTCCACTCGTTCCGATACATATGATAGGCTCGACGACGACAATTGTGATGGTGCTGAATCACGTTTGGTTTCCATTGATGAGATGAAAATGTGATCGATCGTTGCGGGGCACAGCAATCGATGACAATATGATAAAATGCTGAACGCGAGCTGCGGTCTACACACACAAATACACACACTCACCGACGTGTGTAGCAGCCGTCAATGATCTCACGAAACGTCAAAAACGCACAATTTTGGTTTCATTTTGTTTACTCTATTCTTTCTTTTGTTTCTTTCTTTTGTTTTGTTTTATTTTGTTTTGTTTACTCGTCCGAATTATGAACAAACAAAAATTGTATCAATCCTACATCTGATGACAATATACAATAAACGCACGCATATATACTCACACTTGCTAAAAATAATTGTTTACATTTTGATATAAAAAGTATATTGCAGCAATAGTCGAAACGACCGTGCCGTTCTGTCAGCCCTATTTTAATTATTCAATTTTAATACCAACGATCGAGTAATTCATCTACATTCTGAACAAAAAAAAATCGGCGATCGTCAGAAGAGTGAAAAAGAATCGACGGACGGGGATGAAGGGGCACAAGGAAGTAATGATACAGATATCGGTATAATGTTGAAACAAGCATCGAACACAGTAGTTTACAGTGACAAAATTAACTTACAGCTCGATTGCCAATTATTTGACGAGATGTAGGTACAAGAGTGAAAAAATGTAAAAATTTCCTATTTCAATTCCGACATCGTGTTGTTTAATTATTTCGGCTAATTTTAATTGATTACATGATGTTTATTTTGCACGGCTACACTCTGCTACTATCGATGTCGATTTCTCTTTTGTCATTTTGCAAATATAGTTCATTGTAAACGAAGCAAAGGAGCTTTTTCGAAGGTGTTTTTGTTTTCAAATTTGTGTGAGCTCTTCAAATTCACTATATGAAGAAACCTATCAACTTGGAGTTAAATTAAAAAATTCGTTCATTTTAATTGATTTTCCGGAATTATTTAGCATACTTTCAGCATTTTCTTTTTTGTCTCTTGTGTTTTGGCCACACCAAGATATGTATGTCGCTGCGTCGCTTGTATTTTTTTTTCCTCCGGTGAATTTTTTTTTGACAGATTTCACCATCTTTCTTCATCAAGCAATGCACACTATCACAAAACAATTTTCCGCTTATTTTGTATTTTAAATGTTTGCCGAGGCGCTACACAATGCAAACCACCTTCTCATTTGCAGCGCCCAAACATAAGCGAAGGGATGGAGAAAAAAAAACTAATTGGAAGAATTAACGAGAATGCAACATCACGGGCAAACAGATGTGAAACAACAACAATGAAATTAAAATTGATGGCACTCACATGGATAGCAATGAATGATCAAACAAAGGTCTGGTAATGAGGAGCACACAACGGCCGACACAAAAAAACTGCACAAAAAAAACTTTCTCGCGATAAACAAACGCGCAAATAAGTAGCAAAATCATTTATGCCTGCTGTTTTCAACGGTTTTCACGTTCCAACTAAAGTCAAAAGTAATAACTTTGGCGAATTGTAGCGGGCGAATCGCTGGAAGTTTAAGTAGAATTTTTCGCTTGTGAAAATAGAGGAAGGAAATGAGCATAGAAACCGAGAGTGGGTTGAATACGAATGGCGAGCATCGAGCCACACACATAAGCAAATCAAATAGAAAAAAAACACCACCAACACCAACAACAAGCAGCGGCAATAACAGCAGCAGCAGCAGCAGCAGCAGCGATGGCGGCAACAATGAAAACTGGCAGCCAGAAGTGAAATTGTGTTATTATTTTTTTTCGTTTTCTTCGCGAAAGTGAGCCAAAAACACGCAATCCACATTCTACTTTTGCTTAACGTATAAAAGTTGGCAGTAACAAATTATTGAAGAAGCTAAACGTAAGCCTGACGAAAAGAACGACGGCCAAACAAGAATTCTGTTTTTCGGCCAGAATGTGTGTATGAAATAATTTTAACTATACTGTTTAACACACACACATGCCTTGATTACAATGATATTAGGATGGGCAATTGCTATTTCCCATTGGCCAAGCTTTCCCTTCCTTTGCTCGTTCTGAACTCTGTGTCGTTCTCGTTGTTCGGACTGTTTGCGCTACAGGCATTATATGCGGATCACGGGCTCTGTGTTGGCAACCCACGGCCATTTCAACACTTTGAACACCTGGCAATGATAATGTGTAGAAATTGTTGTTCTTAACCATTCCCTTTCCCTCCCTCTCTCTCTCCGTCTGTCGGTATGTCTATCTCTATCTATTTATCTTTACGCCATGTTTGCTATGCTTTCATATTCTTTTAACGGAGCCAAGCCACGGCGTTTGTTTTGGCATACGACTATACAATAGATACCAAATGAAACAGTGTTTGCATTCATTGGCCATTTAACACGGAAACTTAAAAGCAAGGTGCGCCTTCGAAACGTCCAGTTCCTTCTTTAGATACCATTTAGTAAAACCTTCAAACCATTATAAGAAAGATTACATAAATGAGTATTCATAGCGACGACCCTCTCTTCTCTCGTCTGTGAATGCATTACATTTCATTTTATCGTGAGCTAGGTGACAAGGGAGGCAAATCAGTTGCTATGTTTCTATTTTCTTGATACAGACGATTTTAACATAAACATATCGTTCTGGAGCTTTTTTTTAGCTACATGAAATATTAATATAATATGCACAAACGCCCACACAAAAGCGCGCGTAATTATCATAAATTCGGGTATTTTTAGGTTCATATGCGCTGCTTAGATTTGATGAAACGTGGATTCATCGCATCAACATGTGAAGACTCACTATGTATCTTTAAGGTGGCTACTTCAACAAAACCATTACTCATGCAGCTGTTTTTGTTCATTAGCTGCTCCTTAATTGGAATTTATTTCCAATTACCAGTTCAAGTCTCTGTGCACTATGCATCTGCAATGGCCAATATAAATTCAATTGAACAAATAGATTTATGTAAAATGAATGGGAAAAAAACTTGAAAAAAGCGCAACGCTTAAATGTACTTGGCCTTAAAGAGTACGATACCGCATTCTCGCATTGCTATTATAGCAAAAAAGTTGTGCGCGTGTGATATAAACAATAAAACCAATGGGAAAATCCCTAAGCGCTTCCAACTAATGGAATTTGCATGGCATCATTTTGGCTCTTGTTCTGGCCGTTCGTGCTGTTTTTATTGCCCGCTATAATGACGGGGCTGATGGCGTTTGGTTGTGATTTGTATTCTTGAAAAATTGAGTATGTGTGTGTGTTTTGGCGAGCTTTTCAAATGCTCGTGTGTTCGTGGCACTGGCGTCGCGTAAATAAATTCTTGAAAGGTTGAATAAAGATCTGCTTGGGGTGTTATTGATTGTGACTGGTCGGTTCGTTGCACATATTTTAATAAATCTTTGTGTAATATTGCTATTAATCGTCCTCATGGGTTCTTTGTCCTATTCGTCGGCAAATTGACTCTCAGCCATCTCATCTTTTTCCATCCGAAAAATATGATTGTCATAAAAATGATTATACTTGTTAGCTGACTGGGCATGTGAATGGTGCGTGGCAAAGCTGAATGAAATATAGAAATCGCATTAATTTGCCCACTTTTGTAAATTGACTGTGATTAACTAGAGTTCAATCGTTGTACACACAATGAAATCGAAACGACTAAACACAGTGATTCAGTCGAAAGCCCAATGAGACTGTGGGCCTGTGAAAAGGAAAAATGGGAATACGGGAACCAGTGTGCCAGATAAAAGATTTTGAATCAAGAAATTGGCCGTCTTCTTTGGTCATTGACAATTTTCAGTAAAAAAAAATCGCGTTCCAATGCCCATCGGATTTTAAAACAGTTTCATATACTGCTGCAAAGGTCTCATATATACATACGATATAAGTACGAATTTACTCAAATGTACACTACATCAATTACGCATTCCTCCTATTTTCTCCGTCCAAGCGATGATTAACATCGTAGCAAATCCATCATATGCCATTTCGATGGCCAATTTCTTGAATGCCGGATTCTTTTGTGCCAAATGCAATGTGTTCGAATGGAAGATGACATCGAATACGGCACAAATCACCTTATTTTTTTATCAAAATCATGTTTCGGTTTCGATTGCACATACGGTAAGCTCCAGTTCTTTTCCCCCGTTTTCGCATCGAAACCACATTGACTGAGCAAATTCGCCACTCGCTTCGTGTCTTTTTTTTTATTGGTCTTTTGTGCGTATTTTTCGTTTTTTCCATTTCAAATTGCTTAACTTTTGGTGTTTACACGTAATGCGTATCTGTAGACATTTGATACGTGCATGAAAATGTATACACAGTTCTGAACCATTAAAATGTTTAAGCTCATGTGAGCTGTTCGCTTTTCCCAGCTCTCATTCTCTGTTCTGTATGCGATGAATCCAATGGAAAAAAACTTCTGATGCCGCAAAATGTTGTGTATATATGTAGATAATTTGTCACAAAGGGCGTCTTAGAAACCATCAAGGCGCACTCCTTTTACAACGATAGTGTATTCACCATTTCACTATGCCAAAAGAGATATAAATTGGCAAGAAAATGCACTTGAATGTACAACAAGATACATCACATTTGTACATCCCAATGGCCTGTATTTTTTTTTCCTTCCTTCGGATCCTTCTTTGTCCTTGCTTTATTCTCATATTGCAAGTTTAATTTTTATTTTTTATGGGCTGCACACGTGCCGTATTGCTTAATGTACTGTATTTTCGCCTCCCACATTTACTTTAGAATCGAATTTTACTTTTGATCACACTCTCATGCCGAAAAAGTCAAATGTGTTGATGAATTGTCCAGCATAGTTCAGCATAGTTCAGCATAGTTCAGCATGAACATGAAATGAACCATTTTAGCGATTATGTATACGCTGAAAATAGGCCCATACAATCAGCTTCCTTGTTGTGTTAGTGCTGCTTTGAATTTTGTTTCTCTCCAGAGAGAGAGATGTTTGCGAACCGAGTGCGGATAGTTTTCATCTCTTTTGAATTGATTTTAAACATCAAATACCATTAACTGTCCACATGAAAGTGTTAAAAAGGTATGCGATAATAGGTAGTTTGGCAAATGTTTTAACTTCACTGAAGATATTTATTAAAATTATTATAGCGTCTCCTTTGGCATGGCTTTCGTCTGCATTCGATTCTTGGCACATTCACCACATTTCAACGTCATTGCAAACTATTTTCCCGTATACTTTTATTTTTCACATGCTCGTGACGTTTGTCTGGCAAAAAGCCTTTTGTGTCTGCCACAACGCTGTGAAGCACAATGTTATTATATTCAACAGATCCAAAACCTTTCAGAGTTCTGTTTGTCCCTATCGGAAGTTCACTAACATGAATCATGAATGACGTTTGAAATGCCATTTTTGACAAATACCATTTCCAATATTTGGGTAAACCTTGTAACGAAATCATTTAATCAAATTTCCAAACTCTACCGTATAGATGCCGCTAGAGCATCATTTGCTGAATATCTTCCATTTACGATTCATGTTGTTGGTCTGTCAGCTGTGTGATGTACAACTTCAAACTGTATGCAATTTATATCAGCTCTTTGTCAATTCGGACTAGCACCGGGATTCATGAGGCAAACTTCCCTTTATGCATTTCATATGCAAAAATGCAGCACCGCTTTTTCCGACTAAACCTTAGAGCGAATTTTTGTCCCTTCGTTGCATAAAAATGAACACATCATTGTCATTGTTGTTTTTTTCTTCGCGTTCGGTTCGTGTCATTTCTTTCCGATGTGCATTTCTTTTCTTTTTCTTCTTCTTCTTCTTTAATTTGCGATGTAAGTTTTTGGGCGTTCGACATTTTTGCGCCGTTTCTTTTCTAACGTTTGTTGTTATTTTCTTCTTCTCTCGTTGCCTTTTTTTACATTTGTTTGGCTTTGTTAAGACGGTGTAAAGACTAATGTTGCAAATGAAGCAATTCATTCGCGCACAAGTGTTTCGTTTTTTTCCTTCAAATTTATATGACTGGTGGTCGAGACACATTCAGTCTGCGTTCTTCTTATGTTCCTTCTTTTTTAATTGTCACACATCAATTTAACAAGCCAAATGTAAAGAATCACGCGACATACATCATTCAAATGCCGATGTAATGCCATTATGAAATTCCCTATTCCAATTCTGTTCTCGCTTTCAATCTCACATACGCTTTCAGTGGCATTTTGGTGGAAAGGATGAAATTTGTCTGCTGCTGCTGCTGCTGGTGGCTCGGTATGCATATTTCCGAGCGGCAAAACAAATGAGCAAAAGCCCCTTTCATGAATAGAACAGCGAGCAGTAAAATGATTGTCTTATATGCCCAAAACTCATAAAGAGACTTTCGACAGTATATGACGCAGTCGGATCAGTAATGACTAAGCGGAGAGATTATAATTGAATTGAAATGTAAACAACGCGCTGAAGAAGCAATCCTATGAAATGGCATTGCCACTGTGTGCTAATTTAAGTAAGACAACGCATCAAACAACAACGACAAAAGACGATGACGATGACGACGACAACAACGACAACGACAACGACGACGACAACAACGACGACAACAACGACGGGAAAGCGAACGAGCGAGCGAACGAATGAAAGAGAACGGTACGAAATGAATAGAAGACAAAGTTGAGCTTACCGAATTTCTGAGCATAAGTCAAATTAATCGTGATGTTACAAAAATAAACAAACAAAGTTTTAATAGAACAAAACCGAATCCGAGCGCAACTTTCATACCAGCCGAACAGTAGCTATGTGGCATTGCGATTGAAGCGCCACAATTAACCAATGAAGGAACGCATCAATGTGGAAATGTCGCAAACTATTTGAAGTAACAATACAAATATTGAACGAAATATTCAAATTGGCATCACATATGGCAATCGCCGTTTAGCAATGTAAATAAAATGCCGTCAAGCAGCAGCTAAATCAGCAACAATGCCGGGAACGCGACGATGTTGTCGATTGAATTTCGAATTCACTCGCTGCCGAAATATGCGAAAAACTATAGGTTTGCATTAACAAAACATGATGAGATGATATTTTCGCATCCAATGCAAACATTGCTACTCATTTTTGTCGCCTGAAAATTACCCACATATATGTAATCAAAATAGTGTTTGCCCTTTTTCCTGTCATTCGTTGTTCGTTTCTTTTGAAAATATATTTCGCGGGCACTTGTATGTGTTTGGCTTTTTCGTGTGCCTTGATTTTATTGCATATATTTTGACGGTCGCTTCGCTTATTTTATTGTTGTACTAAAATTGAGCTGCTTATCGGGGATCGCGGAGCTTAGCCTCATATCATGTGCGAGAACAATTTTGGTGTGTTGTCTTCAACTATTTTGGCATTACGATAAACATGTTTTCATGCTCATTTCCGGAAAATCGATCTAATAACTAGCTGCCGACACACCGAGAATTATATAGAGAGGGAGGAACAGAGGGAGAGAGAAACCGCTTAGCCCAGTTTTCAACAATGATGATGCATGAGATTCAATTCCATTTTTTGAGTCATACGAGATAATGTCTCTTTTTTGTTCTCTTTTATTTGCTACCGGTGGTTCATAACCATTTTCTCATTCATTGAAAAAACAATATAAAGAAAAAGAATACGTTAAATATGTTCAGCGGACTTCTACTCTCGCATTCATTTGACATATTCTATGATTGACTCAGATATTGGCGCTATTTCTGCCAGTGAAGTCATTTTTCCTTGTATGTAATTCAATACAAAAAATTTGATTCACATAAATACATATGTACGAACGTGCGTCGTTTGTTCAGCTACTCGATACAAATGTATAAGTGTATTATTGCTTGATGGTATGATATGTGAGATAAAACAATCGCAAAACGCACGTAAGCTTTCATCGCCAAAAATGAATAGCAGAAATATAAAAAAAAATCATTTATCACGTTGACATCGTTCACTCCATATTTGCTTGGCTTATATATTGTATAGAAATTCGCACATCTTTTTTTTTTACTTTTTCAAGTTGTTTTTGATCCTTCTCTTTTCTTGTAGCTAATACTTACATGTTCATTTCTGTGAACTGGCTGCGATCTAATTTGTCACAGTTGAGATGAGCTGCTGGGATAAACGTTGAATGGCTATTCAGAAATGGTGAGCAAAAATGCAGCCGGTACAAAATAGAATATGCCTCGAAGACATTGCGCTAATATTCATGGTGGATGTCATTTTTCAAAAAATAAATTGTAACCTACCAAAACTGATTTAAAATCGTATGCGTTCATGCGCATTGGTTAAAAAATTCAATTTCAGTATTTCAATCCACACCGAATTTGCACTAAGCGAGCAACGCGGCAAAAACTACTAGAGACAGACACAATAAGAAAAAACACACAACAGATATATATTGAACTCTTGAAGTGAGACCAAACCGCTAGGAGTGTGTGGAACCCACTACAGAACGATTTTATGGGAATATGTTTTTTTTTTCAAATCAGAAATGAATGGAATGTGTTATTTATGTTTGAATTTTGTTGGTGGGCAAACGCACCATAATAATATAAGTCACATATTGCGGCTACCAATATAATGCCGCTATATGACAATTTGATAAATCTTTAGTGCTACAGACGTTTCACGTTGTCCAAAATGGTGATCATAAATGAATAGTGGTAATTTTGTCTATTGCCCCTTGCTTCTATACATAAAGATTCCATATTAAATCGTTCTCAGTTTGCGAAGTGTTCTATCTCAAACACAGATGTTTGAATTGTCGGTACGGTATTGGTTACAAATTCTCACATGTTGTGTTTGACTGAGAATTTGCTTGGTTTTGCGTCACTAAAGGTAAATCTATATAATAAGTGTGGTTTTTTTTGTTGTTGTCAAGTGTCGACACATAAAAGCAGACACATTGATACACACACAAATCCATTATGAATTGTGAATGGTGCATTGCAATCGTGCAATAATAACAGAGCACATACAGTGTGTGACATTTCTTGGCTTGCATCTCGGACGAACAGCCGCACATAAGAAAAATCGAAGAAGAAGGAGAAGAAGTCAAGAAAAAAAATGTATCTCATTCGAATTGGCATCGACGATGATATTTTTTTTTAATTGAAAAAAGAAGGAAAAAAAAATATCCGTTCGCATTTTCACTTAGCTCGTTCACGATCGTTTTCACCGGAATGCATTGAACTCTTAGCATATTGCTATGATTGATATATGTGAGTGGTGAATGCGATTTCTAGTAGACCATACATGTCTTCCACATGCGATCAATTTGTACTCTTGTAAAGTATGGTGCATGCTATACACCAAATGTGTGAAGTGTGATATGAAAGAAAAAAAAACAAACAAACACACAAATGATATGTGAATCTAGATGAGAAAAGGTTATTTAACATGAAACGCGAACGAATTTCTTATCTTAACAATATCTGTATCAGAAACTTTACCCAAGTTATTCATGCATTTTTTTTGGGTATCATTTCTTCCCTTTCTTCCCCCTCTTTTTCACTCGTTCTTTTTTATCTAGCAAATAAATCTATTGTTTACTATGCCTCGCACGAAATTTGACAGAAAAATGTTCAAGAAACCGTATGAAATAAGGCCATGTAATCAAATTGAAAGGAGATGTTCTTCCGTTCGTCTTGGGTAATCGGATAAAAAGCTTTGAATAATAATTTAAGATTTCGTTTAAAGAAAATGCAAAAATACATACATAATTTACGTTTGGGTTGATGTTTATAGGTGCGTCTTTTCTCTCATTCCTTCATGTGTTGTTTTTTGGTTGTTGTTGTTGTTATGGCTAGCTGGGATATATGTCTCTTTCACCCTTGTTCTCTTCGTTGATGTTTTCGCTCGATTTTACTCGTTCTACTTGCAATAATTTCTCTCTGTAATATTTTTATGATTACTGTTCAGTTTCTCAGAGATTTTCGGCTTATGTTGTTTTCAATGTTTTACTTATTCGATGATGAGACACATTTGAATCACTAAAAATACGTCGTTTCTCATATGTGCACTTATTCACTGCTTTAGCACACAATCAAGAACCAGAAACGATATGTGAAAAATAAGTTTGAAGAAAAAAGACCAACAAAAATCTTTATTTTTTCAACAATAACTGCATACAGATCTGACTAAATGACGAGCAATTTAATCAAATACATAAATACATGCCGATATTCGATTCAATCGCAACGATGATAGAAAAAAGGTGGGGAATCAAATAAAATCAAACTGAAAGGATGAATTTGAAAAGAAAACGCACGCACACACAATTTGGCAATATTGACAAAAACAAGAGTATTCGTTGTTTCGTCGTCTTCTCCTTCTTTTATAGCAAAATAACTGAAAAGCACAACAGTTTCAACTAAATCGGTACACAATCACATCACTAATTGATTGATTGAATTTAAAATGGAACTTCGGTTTGCATTACAGCTGACCAAAACAAAAGAAACGAACGATAAAACCGAATATGTGAACAGAAAAAATAATGATTTGACAACGGACGCATTAAGGTAATTTGTGAACAATTTAATGGACACAAAACCACTGAAAATGAAAATTAAAACTATTTACAACACAAGGCAGAATATATGAGACAACAAAAACCTTTTTTTTTCGCTATACTGTTTCGTTTAGTTGGATTAATAATAAATCAAAGTATGAAATCACACATGCACATACACACATTTTGTGTTTTTATTTCTATTTGCAGCTGAATTTTGGGAGATTCGGTATTGTTATGATTCCCTTTAGCTGGTCCATCAATTGCAGATAGATTCGGTGTGATTTTTTTGTTCTTTTTTCCTTTATAATACGCGAATTATTTACTAAAATGCCTTTTTATGTTGGAATTAAATAAAAAAAAAGGATTACTTAAAAACAATTCAACTAAAGAAGCAATGAACTGGTTGATTTCACTGTATATTTAAATTCCGTATTGCAATGGTTTTCGTCGTATGCTTTGTAGTCTTTTTTGTATAGATTATTTCTTTTTTCTTTTTTCTGTTTGCAGAATAGAACACTAAACTAACTTTTTGACAGATGATTATTTTTGCATATTACTCGAGAGTTATTTTCATTTCGTTCTATTTGGTCGCATTACATTTGTCGTGGATGTGCAACGGTGTGCGTGCGTTTCTCGTACGCTGTACGTCCGTGCTTTATCGTTGTATGCGTGTATATTGCAGCATTAGGAGACAGGCGAAACCGCGCGTTACTGTATTTGGGATTATATGTACACATTTTTTTTTCTTCTCTCGTGTGTTGCTTTTGCCTTCGCTTGCTGTTGTTGTGTACTCGGCGAATGCTATGTATTGGGTCTCTGTGTGTGTTATGCGCCTTTCTCGTTGTTCGGTATTATCGTTTTTGGCCTGTTTGTATTTGTATATCGCACGGAATACGGAATACGGTTTGGCATTTACACACATAGGCACATCAGCTCAGCGCAATACGCAGTTCGTATATTTATCTCATGCTACGCTCTTGCTACATGTGTTGTATGATATTGCCGTACGAGTGTGTCACATTCCGTGTGTGCTAAACCTGTTTATGTGTGCATACACGTACCGATTTTGACGGACGGACGGACGACCAATTTCGAGTTTTTGGTTTTGATGTTGCGCGTTGTGTGTTACATATCGCAAAGGCCCGCTAACTTACCATTCGCATAATGTTTGAACAGTTACTGACTTTAGAAGCGAACGATATTCAACTTAAAGGAATGGAACGGTTACCAAATAAAAACGCGCCCCATACACACAATTTTGCTGGGTGGTTTCGGTGCGTTTCATCTTCTTTTTTTGCGATATTTTGTGCTGAAAATGTATCAGGCGATTTTAATCCTGCTGGTAAACGCCCTCTTCCTTTGCACAATGCTCATTGCTCAAGCCTTTTTTTTGTATTAGGACGACATGCGATATTCATCTGTTTCACTTTATTTGCGGCTCGATGCGGCTGATTGAATTTAAGACGATGAATATTCGTTTGCCAGTGATTACAGTAGGGAGACAATTTTGGCTGATTTTAATTTTCTCTACAATAATCATCGGAAGATGTGGCACTCGGCTCCGTGTATTCTTCGTTCTGACACGCTGAATGCCGGACGCACATGTTTTCATCAGTTTGATAAATTCTACGAATTTATGCCCAGAGACAAGATCGGTTTATACGGTAGAACGAGATATCGCATCTTTTTCGAGTGGCCGCATAAAATATCACGTCGCTTGAATGTTTAAGCCTCATTTTTTTTTCTTCAAACTAGTAGCACTTGACTTGGCCTAAATGCCACATCACAATTGAATATGTGATAAGAGTATACGTTGGCTATAGGCAGTACAACAAAATAACTAATTATGACCGGAAAAATGATATGAATATCCGTTTATTAAAGCGCGTCCAGTTTTTAAATACTCTTTTTTTTATCGTTAAATGAATTCTTTAAATATTAGTATTTTTTACATCCTTTGCATCCATTGTTTGGTGCGCACATGATTTAAGATAACGCAAGCCATACATGAAGCTCGGTGCTTGAGGTTCTGTATTTATTGTGGTTCTGGATATTACAACAGATTAGTCAAGTCTGATGCAACCTATCGGACGCATCATCATTTACCCACTCGCATTAAGTAATAAAGAATAAAAGCAATGACCCGTGGATTTTCGAGTAGAATATACCTATGGCTTTTCATAGTTTTGGCTGTTTCACAACAAATAGTGACATGCCCAAGTGAATGCCGTTGTGCCGAAGGACAAGCTCATTGCCGACGCTTAGCTGCTTCGAGACTCGCGCAGTTGCCACGAGACACACGCATTTTGTAAATATTTTGAGAATTGTTTCTCAACGAAAATTAACGACCAATCATCAGTTAAAACAATTTAATGGTTATGTATCGACTTGCTATTCTGATACAAACTACAACAACAATAAATAACCATTAATTGTTGTTTTCAAAATTCCCCATTTCTTCTATTTTTTTCTAAATTCATTTGTTTAAAATTTCCGTCTTTTCATTTTATTCTCCAATCAGAGTTTTGCACAACACCGATTTGCAACGTTTAGAGCAGGTTCAATTCGCATCTCTGTTAGCAGATGTTGTGGCAACTAAATTGGAAAGATTGTAAGTACCATTAAATTGAATCAAGTGTAAAGAAATAATCGTATTCACTTGATTACTGTAATTTGCCGTCTCAGCGCTTATAGCGAACTAATAAATTTTTTTGTGTGTTTGTTTTTTTTCTTAACCAAAATCTGCGATTTACTATTTCATGGATTCACTACGCACCATTTGTATTCGTAAATAAGGGAGCTCTTTCACAATAACATCGTTCATTTGCCACCGAACACATTCGACGGCCTGTCAGCACTTCAGTACTTACGAATTGATAGGAATGCCATAAATTGCGACTGTTCCACTTTGGAGCTCATCAAACGGTTTGACGAAAATCGCGCTCGAGCACATATCACTTGTGATGCCCCACAGCCATTGCGCGGGAAAAACTTGAATCACATCAGTGAAACGGAATTAAGATGCGGTAAGAACTGGATGCACTAGTTTTATTTCATGGCAAAATTTGACGAAATTCGACTTGTTGTCATTCTTTAGATGTTACGGGCAATAACTTAAAGTTATCGGGAAAAGATGGAAATTCAATGTTCTTGTGCCATACCGAAGATGACTTGAATTTGGATGAGTTTGAAACAGATGTCGACTATGATGAAAGTCAATCGACAGTTTCATTTGATATACAGAATTTGGCTGTCAATTTCATCGGTGAACATGAGTGCGTATTCAGTGAAGTGCCGCGGGGATTCAGAAACGAGCATGTCAAACTAATGGTGACTACTGAAGCAAATGCGCTCAATCAGGTTACAGCCAAAATAGAATTTAAGGCTGAACTCCTTGTTGAACGCGGAACCACTGACAATACACAAATCGACGATGATATTTATATCAATTGCCCAAAATCAGGTACAGTAAATGTGAAAAATTGAAATGATGATAGTAAAAAAAATTTAAATTTTAAAAATTTATCATGTTGTTTAACCCAGGCAAATTTGTATGCAGTTCTGAGAAACAATCTGAAAAGCCGAAGTTTGTCAGTGAACCATTTGATATTGATGCGTATGAAGGAACGACAATTGAAATTCCATGCGAAGGAAAAGGCAATCCGAAACCAGAAGTAAGTATTGAAAAGGAAATTCAACAAATAACCCAAAGCTTTACTCGGAAGAAGACAAATTCCTTATTCGTAAAATAAATAAATATCCGCAGGTTCAATGGAAGAAAGATGGTCGAACACTCGTACAAAATGTGAATCATCGCATCGGTGTCAGTGGTAGTTTGTTTATAAAGAAAATAACGGCACAACAAGCTGGCCGCTATGAGTGTACCCTCCGGAATAGTTTGGGTCGAATCAGCGCATCGGCACTCATAACCGTCAAGTAGGAAATCAAAACAATTAACAGAAAACCTAATAAAAAATATAATTTCCTTTTATCCCCTCCTCACTTCCCAAAAAACAGAAACAAGGATGTGGCAGCACCGAGCGAACAAGTGATTCGGGTGGCATTTTCAGATGCGGCTCGAGAAGTCGACACTGCCATTAATCAAACGATGGCCTATCTTTTCGATCCGAAGTCGAAACGCCATCATGGTGACCTCTTCAAAATTGCCCGATATCCAAGAGGGAATGCACGCGAATTGGCACGAGCCTCAGAAATATTCGAACGAACACTAGTAAATTTGAGAAAGCGAGTCGACGGTGGTGCCATATTACAATTCGATGCAATCGATTTCAACTACAAGGACATTTTCAACGCCGAGCAATTGGATTTAATCGCCCAACTGTCCGGTTGTATGGCGCATCGAATCAAACCGAATTGCTCGGCCAACATGTGCTTCCATTTGAAATATCGTTCAGCTGATGGTACCTGCAATAATTTAGAGCATGCAATGTGGGGATCGTCATTAACTGGATTCAGACGTCTTGCCAAACCAATTTACGAAAATGGCTTCAGCACACCAATCGGATGGGACAAGGAGCGTTTATATCATGGTTATCGCAAACCAAGCGCACGTCTCGTCTCAACGGAAGTTATTTCAACAAAGGAAATTACACAGGACGATAAAATCACGCACATGGTTATGCAATGGGGTCAATTTTTAGATCACGATTTAGATCATGCAATTCCATCAGTCAGTTCGGAGAGCTGGGACGGAATCGATTGCAAAAAAACATGCGAAAATACCGCACCATGCTACCCAATTCAGGTTTTACTAAGAAAAATTTGTAGTGTGTGGTTGAAGGAAAATGTGGGAACACATGAGCAAGTCCGCAGCATGGTAACATAAGGTATCAGTAATGTGACATGACTTTAGTAGCTGTCCATCTAAATCAATGTTGCCTTATTATTCCTTGGAATGGCTTAGAAAATTAAGATTTGTATGCCTGTATTCCCACTTTTTCGCTCAGCCCTACTTTAAAAGAAATTATTACATTTCTTAATGAATTTCCAATGATTTCTCTCCACAAATGTTGTCACAGGTGCCACCGAATGATCCACGTGTCACAAATCGTCGTTGCATCGATTTGTTTAGATCGAGCGCAATTTGTGGCTCCGGAATGACATCGATTCTCTTTGACACAGTTCAGCATCGTGAGCAAATAAATCAATTAACAGCATACATTGATGCGTCTCAAGTGTACGGTTATTCGTACGAATTTTCTCGTGACCTGCGTGACTTCAATCCAAATGTTGGTTTATTACGGACTGGCGTAAATTTTCCGAATCAAAAGTCGATGTTGCCATTCGCCTCACCGACCGATGGCATCGACTGTCGTCGCGATGTCGAAGAGAGCAAGATGAATTGCTTCACCGCTGGCGACATTCGGGCCAATGAACAAGTTGGCTTGACGGCAATGCATACGATATGGTTGCGCGAGCACAATCGAATCGCTGCCGAATTGAAAGAAATCAATTTCCACTGGGATGGTGAAACATTGTACCAGGAAGCTAGAAAGATTGTCGGTGCGCAAATGCAATTGATAACATATGAGCGATGGTTACCAATCGTTCTAGGACCGGAAGGTATGGAAATGCTTGGCCCATACCAAGGATACGATCCATCTGTTGAAGCAAGCATTTCAAATGAATTTGCAACGGCTGCACTTCGATTCGGCCATTCGTTGATCAATCCAATTTTACATCGACTCAACGAAACTTTTGAGCCCATCGAACAAGGACATTTGGAGTTGCATCGTGCATTCTTCGCTCCATGGCGTCTCGTTTATGAAGGTGGTGTTGATCCACTGATGCGTGGTATGTACAGTGTTCCAGCAAAATTGAAAAAACCATCGCAAAATCTCAATACGGAACTGACCGAAAAATTATTCTATAATGCTCATGCTGTAGCACTTGACTTGGCCGCTATCAACATTCAACGTGGTCGAGACCATGGCATTCCCGGCTACAATGAATATCGTGCCAAGTGCAATTTAACCGTTGCCAAAACCTTTGATGACTTGAAACACGAAATAACGGATGCGAATATTCGGGCCAAGCTCAAGCAGTTGTATGGCCATCCAAGCAATATTGATTTGTTTGTTGGTGGTATTCTGGAAGATCAAGTGGAAAATGGAAAAGTGGGCCCATTGTTCAGATGCATTTTAATTGACCAGTTCAAGAGACTCCGCAGTGGAGATCGTCACTGGTATGAAAATCCATCGTCCTTTACGCCGGCACAGTTGTCTCAAATTAAAATGGCATCACTGGGACGCGTTTTATGTGACAATGGCGATAACATTACACAAATCACCGACAATGTCTTCTTTTTGCCAAGCACACAAGGGGGATACAAATCCTGCAATGAAATTCCAAAAATGAACTTAAATGTTTGGTTGAACTGCGATAAATGCTCAGCACATCAAGATCCGTCAACATTTTATGCAGATCCGAATTTGTCGCGTCAAAGTCAAACGGCATCGAGAACCAGACGTGATGTGAGTAGTACAGAAGAAACTGCAGATGATATGGAACCATCGAAGCCATTGCCTATCGAAGACTCTTTCGACAACAAAACTGAAGACTTAAATGAACTGCAGAATATTCGCTCAGCATTGAACTCCATTCAAGCTACAATTACTGACTTGCAAGCACGCATCATACAGTTAGAATCAAACAAGTAATTTTCCTACAGAAATGTCCCTTTAAATTTGTATACCAAAAGTCATGTATGCCTTCTTACACTGAGCAAATAAAGACAAATCATAAATATTCTATGAAATTGGTTGCCTATTCTTTTATTCGACTTAACATTTTACACAGTCACTCGGTTGTCACTTGGATATTAAGCATGTAACTGATTTTTGTTTTGGTTTTTTATACATTGCGAATGGTAAAAATGCTTAGGATTGTGGTTGGATCTTTGCTGGTGGCCAATCCCATTGTCGAGCTGGTGCTTGCCGGGCAAGAGGCTCCCATGGTTTCCACGATAAGAATTTTCGTGCCAGCAGCAATTCGTTTTCAGCTTGAACCAGTATCTCTTCAACTTGACCGCAGCCGATTTTCGTCTCAATATCAGCCACGTCTTGTGTCTAAAATAAGGAATAAAAATCCCGTTTATTCAATTGGAAGTGAATTGAATGTGAAATGTACCATTTGCACATACCGTAGCTACAACATGGGCTCGTTCACGAATGATTTTCTCTGTGTTGACACGATAAGCAGCCGTTTCTGGCATCTGAGCCAATGCACGCAATGTTTTACCATAAAGACTAGCCAATTGATGGTGAGGATTCTTCGACACCACTAAACCCGTTAAACCGGTCGAAATCTGAAATTCAATTAGCAAATAATGTTATCCATTATCAATTATTTTCATGCTAACAACAAGGTGCTAGACTAGTAGAGTGTGACATTTATTTTGATTGTGTAACACTCTGGTAAATAGTCGCATTGTTTTCTCTAAAATTCATATAAATCGAATACAACATAAATGATTTTTAATTATGTCATGATAGAGCTTTGGTTGCTATATTCACTCACCTTTTTCACTGCACCGGACATTTTAAACTAAATTCCAGCAGAATTTGATTCAAAATACACAATTTCTATATGATGAACGAATTGCTTTGATAGAGAAAAATATTGCGACCATTGAATATGTCACAATACAATGTGTCAAAAATAACGAGCCAACCATTGCCCCTAAACACCATCTATTGATGAAACGAGAAACTATGGCGCAAATTTCGTGAATTGAAGGTCTATTTAATTAAGAAGTTTTCATCGTTCAATGTTATACAAATTTGAACAACTTAAAAACGTTATTGGCGTTAAAGAAAAAAACATCCAATGAAGTATATTGATATCAGCGTTTGGTTAAGATATCTATCTTATGCCCGTTGTAAGTGGTTCGGATTTAATTAAATCCAAAAATTTAATTTCCAACTTTGCAAAAACAGCCAAAAAATGGAAGCTGATTGGGTAGGACGTAAAATTTGGGCGAAAACAAGAAAAACTGGCCTTTTGAGTACACCCGATAAGCCTTATGGGGCCTTGAAATCATGATTTTCCCGAATTTCGTTAAATCGTAAAGATTTAACTTTCAAGTGCGGGATTTAAGCATTTTTCACGCAAAACCATGTTGCAAATAAGTCAAAAATTGTTGGAAATGACCGAAAAATTCTAAATCAGCAAAAAACCCAACCACTTTGTACGTTTTTTGAGTCCAAATATGCAAAAATATCATTTTTCGTATATTCTCAACATTTAATATTCAAATGCGGGATTTAAGAATTTTTCACGTTAAACAGTGAGTCAAATAAGGCAAAAGTTGTGGAAAATGGTCCGAAAAATCTAAATCAGTAATAAAAATCAAGCACTTCTGACCATTTTTGGGTTCAAATAGGCAAGAATATCAGTTAACGGAAACCCTCAGTATTTCACTTTCACATTATGGTGAATTTTTTTAGGAAATCTCGTTTTTCGACAGTCTGCCCATCCAAAACTTCTAGCCAGCTTCAAATCAAGCGCCGAAAGCCTTATCTGTGGCTTGTTTATGGGAATTTCAGGTCAGCACAAGATTTAGATAGGTAAATGAGTTTTTCATGAAACCATGAAAGTAAAATCCCAATAGAAACCCCATTTGTGATATTTCAAACGTCATGAAACTTTCTGGCCAAATTTGTATGGGAGGTATGATTTTTATTACTGATTTAGATTTTTCGGACCATTTTCCACAACTTTTGCCTTATTTGACTCACTGTTTAACGTGAAAAATTCTTAAATCCCGCATTTGAAAATTAAATGTTGAGAATATACGAAAAATGATATTTTTGCATATTTGGATTCAAAAAACGTACAAAGTGGTTGAGTTTTTTGCTGATTTAGAATTTTTCGGTCATTTCCAACAATTTTTGACTTATTTGCAACATGGTTTTGCGTGAAAAATGCTTAAATCCCGCACTTGAAAGTTAAATTTTTAGGATTTAACGAAATTCGAGGCCCCATTAGGCTTATCGGGTGTACTCTAAAGGCCAGTTTTTCTTGTTTTCGCCCAAATTTTACGTCCTACCCAATCAGCTTTCATTTTTTGGCTGTTTTCGCAAAGTTGAAAATTAAATTTTTGGATTTAATTAAATCCGAACCACTTACAACAGGCATTAGATAAGATATTAAGATAAGATAAGATAGATAGTATCTATTATCTTATCTAGAGAATTTTTCAAAAATGTCGAAAATCTTATCCATTATCTTTTCAGTTTTTTTTCGACGGACATTTTTGAGATTATCTCGTTGTTATCTAGATATTTTTTCTGGGACAGAACCAAACGCTGATTGATATACCTTGTGTGATTTTGGTTGTCGTCTCAAAAAATTCTACTTCTTTGCAATTAACACATCGGTCAATAAGTCCGTAGGATGACACACAGATGGCACCTCTTCGGCCGAATCAATGGTATTGGCAGGGAGTACCAACCTTCAGAAGTGAAGCGTCAAAATTTCATGAAATTCTGACTATTTGTTTACAAGCTACAGTGCTCGAAGTGACCCAACTTTTGTTATTTTTAAAAACATGGAAAGATCCGAATTTCGTGTGTTGATAAAAAATTGCTTCTTGTTGGGAAAAAACACCGTTCAAAAAAGAGCATGGCTTGAAAAGCAAATTGAATTTTTTGCGTCGGTATGTGATAATGGATGAAACTTGGATCCATCATTTCACACCGGAGTCAAATCGGCAATCATTCGAATGGACAGCAGCGGGAGAACCGCGACCAAAGCGACCAAAAACTCAAACATCGGCTGGCAAGGTAATGGCTTCAGTTTTTTGGGATGCGCATGGTATATTGTTCATCGACTACCTTGAAAAGGTAAAGAGGATCAATACTGATTATTATATACCATTACTCGAGCGTTTGAAGCGAGAAATCGCTGCGAAACGGCCACACATGCAGAGGAAAAAAATACTGTTTCATCAAGAAAATGCTCCGTGTGACAAGTCGATCAAAACAATGGCAGAACTGCATGAATTGGGCTTCGAATTGCTTTCGCACCCACCGTATTCTCCAGATCTAGCCCCCAGCGACTACTGGCTCTTCGCAGACCTGAAGAAAATGCTCGCTGGCAAAAGATATGGCTCAAATGAAGAGGTAATTTCCGCAACTGAGGCGTATTTTGAGTCGAAAGACAATTTGTTCTACAAAACTGGTATCGAAAAGCTAGAGAGGCGTTGGACGAATTGTATCACTTTTGAAGGAAACTGTGTCGATGAATAAAGCAAAATTTGGCCGATAAACTGTGTTTTCTTTGTTATCCTACGGACTTATTGACCGATGTGTTACTTCTTACATAAATAGCTTTATTCATTATTTTCTACTTTACAATTTTTCTTGTAATTTGTTAAATGTTGATGGTTGCAATACTTGAGGTTTTGTTGCCTGTGTCGTTGAATCGATCACTGAGTTTGGGTGAATTGAAGGTTTCGGAGTAGCCAATGAAGTAGTTGCGTTTAATGGGTTTGAATCTTTGGTTGGTACTTTTCTGTGTTATCTTCATCGTTATTTTCTGGTGATATTTCATCGTCGCATTCACAGCAACCGTTTTCTTCATCGCAACAGCCATCTTCATCCTCATCATCGCTGTCCTTTTCAGTGCTTTCACCATTATCTCCAAAGAATAAATTTTCAATGTTTTTAAAATATAAAACCAAATCAATGAAAGAAATACTTCTTCAAAATGATGAGTCAAGTTTTTGAGATCAACAAATATCCAGGAAACTCTTTTTCCAAAGGTACCTACCAATCAATTGTGTTTCTTCTACACCGTTTGAGTTGATGTCTTGGAGTTTTCCTACATTCCAATCAAAATCTTGTGGTTGATTCGGAATTTCTGGATAATTTTTTCGGTAGAACTGCAGACTTTTCACCCGTTTTTGTGAACCATTTTCTGTAGCGAGTTTATTTGGTTCTTCTTGTTCCGCAGGTGCAAGATTATCAGCGTTACTGTCTACTGCTCCTTCGTCGACTAATGTTCCAAATGCTTCCCATAAATTGCACTGTATTTCGTCAATGCAATACCCTTGATAATTTGATACAAAGCCAGGAATACAATCACAGTCAACTTTATAGTCATCCGGATTGGGCATCAGAATATGAGTGAGATCCAAGATCAGATTTGCACAAGATCTAGCGGTGCGTGGATGATAGTATGGATTCACATATTGGTATGGAAACACACAGCCAACATACTTTGTCTTTTCTGTTTGACTATCTGAAACTATTAATTCAACAGTTGTTGATTGGTGAAAATCTCTGTTTTCTATGTTTCCCCCATTTATGAGTTTTTTAACAGATTCCTTAAAAGTTTTCAGCCAATTGAAATCCACATACCTATGTCTGTTTGTCTTGAATGTTCCTTTGGTCTTGTCTCTGCAACATGACTAACTGATGCCAAAACCACAATCGTTAATAATACGAATACTCTCATTTTGCCTATTTTCACAACAAAATTTTATCTCTTTGATAAAAAAAAACAATTATGAACTTGTGTGATAAACTGCAAAATCTGAATTGATGAATATGTTCAGAAGATGCGACTATTTATATATTTCACTATCACATTCGACATAATGAAAAAAGCACAAGTCAAATAATGAATTAGACAGAAAATATTTGGATTCGACAAGGTTGACGGTGCGGTTGTTTCCAAAAATGTTGTTTCGTTTCCAGTGCTATATATGATTCCTCGAAAATATACGTGAAAATATTTATTTAATTACCAAAGATTTGAACAGGTGAAAATCGGACCATTCGCGTCTCATAAAAATTCAGTACATTGACACATGCAATATGAAACTTCCGTTTTTAATAAGAATATACAATGTATATTATACATATATAAAATGGGTTTATTATCTCTCTGTTTGTTTGGCAAATTAATTATAAATTTTTGAATAAGTTTCACATTTTGACATTTCCAACAATTCCATGCCATTTGAATTCGAAAAAGTGTGAATATTATTTTGAAAGTGGTTAACCATTGGATTATCTCGTAAACATTTCGTTTCAATTGTATTAACTGTTGGTGTTTATTGGTGAACTTGAGTCGACTACATGAACGATGACAGGCGCTGTATCGCAAGTGGCGCTGGTTATACAGTTTTTCGTCACCATCAAATTAATTGAATGATGTCTCTGACCCTCCAACTCGAGAAGCAACATGAAATCGGGCCGATGAACACCAATGGCTTCCAAAAACCTTGCAATTTTTAGACAAATAATAAACCTTATTGATAAAGTTCTTCTTCTTCTTTACTTACCTGGCATGGAAATCAGCATCAAATCGTTTCGGGCATTTCAAGTCGATTGCGAGCTCGAGTTTCGTTAAAATTTTCGTGCTCGACACCATAGAAAGAATCTCATCTACGATCAATTGATGATCATCATCATCATCATCTTCTGTTTCGATTTCGGTTATCACACTGAAGGATTTGAGGTGTGGAATTTGCCGTTCAATTAATTTTATCTCATCGATTGTGATTTCAGTGTCTTCTATCTCGAGCGATTCGATTTTTTCAAATGAAGCAATTGTTGATATGTATTTTTCATCCAATTCTACACCTTCGACAAATACCACTGACAGCTCTTTGATATTTTTACAGCCATTGCTAAAAGCATCCAAGATGCACATCTCTTCCGAGTTCTCTGTCAACTTCAACTTTTCCAGCGATTTCAAATGAATCGGTGTTGGTTCAAAGAAGAACTCGGGAACCTGTAACATTTTTAGTTGATTCAATCGATTATTTATTGATTCCAAGAAATTATTCGTGGTGTCTTGATAGACGAGGCTTTCGATTTGTCGATTATTGTCGAAAAATCGATCAAAACATTCCTCCTCCACATAATCCATACTGTAAAACGCAAGATGTTTCAAATACGGCATATGAATGTGTGACCAATTATCATCCTCAATGGCATATCCATCCAAGCTCAGATGAGTTAAATTTGGAAAAAATAAAAACACCTCCCCCAGATTAATATCAGCTGCTTCCCATTCGGTCGCAAATTTCACTTTTTTCAAAGTTGCGACATTTTCCTTCAGCACTTCAATCAACCAACGATGTTCATCGGTCAGATCAGCATCGGCAACTTCGATGTCCGTGAATGTTGCGCCGAAATTAATTAGAACGGCTCGATGCATCTGTTGATAATTGATGATCTCCAAATTTCTCACTTTATATGGTTGGTTGGCGTATTTTCGTTCGAATGTCTTAGCAGCAATAGATTGAAATCGTTTGCACGTACGTGATGCAGCCAATAGTGTCTCATCGTTGAAGCAATCAAAAATACAATTCAACACCTCGTTTGGCATATCGAACAGACCCGGCTCGTCCAATGTCAAAGTGAGAACAACTGGAACATTAGAGATGTCGATTAACTTTTCAGAATTCAAATGGATAAAATCAACAAAATCGTTCTTACATTTGATTTCCAACCGACTTTTCCGGGGGATGCCGTGAACCGTTGCCCGTAAATTGGTTGCGGCAGTTACAAAGTCAACAGCTGCACTTTCCAAGCGAATGGGATCCATTTGAACTTGTTTGGCCATTTCTTTTTGTAGTTCAATCAAACTTGTTAGAAAAACACGTTGGCATTCATGTTGCGACCACGCTTTGTACTCACGATCAATTCCCGTTAAATTTGTTTCAAGTGAATCAGACGTATCTTTAATGTCCTCACCAAATAAATGTTTGAATAGTAGTTGAGCATTGCAGTTTGAAGTTTCCACCAACTGGCGAATTTTTTCATCGCATGAATTTGCCTATATTTGACATTTGGTACATTATAAAAACCTTTTCAATTCATTTTAATCTCTCATTGAAAGAATTACCGTTTGACTTAGCACCTTAAGCAATGAGCTTAGTACTTTCGAGCCATCCATTTGTACTAGACGAATTTTATCAATTACTTCTCGGCCGAATATTTGACTTGAAATACACAGAATTGAATGTCAAAAAATGACTGAAATGTTAAAAGTATAGAACACTGTTAATCCCTTACTGAAATACATGTATTGACCAAGCCAAGCAATCTGTTGAATTTGGTGGTGTATTTTGGATGGTTTCACTTGGAATTGGTTCTTGTGCAGCACATTCGTAGCAATCGATAACAGGAACATTTGCACATTCACACATGGCACTCACATGATCACGGTCCAAGCGATTGTCCAATGCGTTCAATATCAAATGAAATTGTTGAAAAAAGCTATAGCCATAGTTTGTGCTGAAATATTTTCAATTTATGAGTATCGACTGACAAAATTCCAATGATATGTCATAACAGTTACACTTTAAGTTGAATATTTGGAATGGATTCTCGAATCAATTCAGCCCTTGGCTTTCCAACGGAATAAGGCATCTCAACAAACTGTTCACCCAAGTGTTTCACGTCTTTCGATTCCATATCAATCTGAAAATTTAAAAAAAATGGCTTGAAATAATCATTCAATTCATTTTAAATGTGTTAAGCTATATCAATTTTTCACAGCTTACAATTTGAATGTCATCAAATCCACAGGCTGCAATGTATTCCAATGCCTCAGCGCCTATTCGGCCCGCACCGATAACCAAAACTTTGCTGCTCATTTTTTTCCTGCAGCAGTTTGACAAGCGAAGCAAAAACAACACAATTGTTTTCGATGCACGTTTTACTCTGGACCAATGTTGCACGCAACGTATTCCTGAAACATTTACACGAGAACAATATCATGACAATCACAATTGAGCATTCTGATATGTTGCCGAACAATGATTTGTTCGACTTACTAGAAGAAAATGCAAAGACTCATAATTTAAATTATAAACAAAAGTTACTCACTAAATTGTGTTCGTAAATGCTATTTCAAATGGGAAAAACTGTCACTTTCAAAAAATATGTAATTCGATTTCGCTATTCCAATTTGCTGTGTGTGCGTGTTTTTCTCAGAAAGAAAGTATGTCTCTAGACTAAATAAATAAGGCTGAATAAACAAAGAACGAGAATAAAAGATTTCGACGTGGTGACCATTCGATAGAAGCGTGTGTGGGAAATTGTTGCTTTTGGTGGTCGAACTGTTGTGTTTTTAGCCGGTGTTCATACTTCAGCTGTTTGTCAAAAAGATAAAGACAGCGATATCGCTTGATACATGAACAGATAGAGATGATGTTACGGTTCTTTTTTTACCGATTGAATTGTGTGTGTGTGTGTGCAAAAAACGAGCGTATTTGATTTTATATTGAATTTAAAATTAAACTTTTGCCAATTAAAAATATGTTTAAAGGACAAATAAATCACATTACGTGAAATTCAATGCGATCAAAAAGTTGAATGTTATGGTGTGACAACCAAAGTAATTGCAATGTTAAAGCAAATTTCGAAACGGCATATTTTTCTCATGTCAATTTCATCTGAAAAGACGATTAACGAACAACCAAAAACCAACAAAATCGAATGTATGAAGGAATTGATAAAATTGACAATTTCACCTTCAGATGGCGTTTATGCTCGTATTATAAGAAATGTGGCGAATGCGGCGAATTCACTTCGTCTGAAGGTAGTGCGTCAATGCTAATTGTGATTCGTCGTCATTTATAAAAAAACTGTGTGACTGTATAGTACGCGTAAATCGTTTCCACCATCACGAGAAAAAAAAAATCCGTAGTCTGAAAATAGAGAAACAAAAATAAGGAAATTGATTGCGAACAATTTATTTGCATTGTAAAAAAAACAACAACACAAGAACTAAATCAAAGAAAAAAAAAGAGAATTGTGCTTAAGTTTGGTTTTCTATATATAAATATATTCCTCGAGGTAAACATTCGAATATTTTATTTTTAGTTCTTTTTTTCTCGAATTTTATTTTTCATTGCTCATGAAAAATGGTATTCGTATCGCGCAAATAAAAACGAACTTCTTAGGGCTAAACGAAAACAAAAACAAAAACAAAAAATTTAAAAGCCACCAGCATTTTAGAAGGATCGATTAAGTTATTCAAAGAAAATAGAAACGAATAGTCAATGTCGTCATCCATACTTGTGTCTTTGTCGCAGTAAGTTTTTTTCCGTACACTTCAGAGCGGGCAAATGAACGTATATTTAAGTTAAGTAACGAAGAAGAGAAAAAAAAAACGATAAAGAAATACAAACACAATGAAACACTTGTGGTAGTGAGAAAATTGGTTTTGCTGAAATTAGCGAACAAAACAGCAGAAAAAAGTACACACAAAAAAAATAATAATAATAAAAAAATGGAAACAAAACCAACATGATATCTTTTGAATGGGAGTATTCTTTACTTCTTGCTTATATATACATAAATTTTTTTTGTTTGGATTGAAATCGACAATTCAAATCACTACCGAGAATCAACAATAAGCAGCACTAATAAATTAACCAAAATGGCGTCGTCTTCGTTCAGCGTTTCTGTCTAGCACGTTAAAATTGACGAACGTAGCAGCACAGTATGTTGTGCGTTGTTTGTCTGGTGTACAAATTGAGTAAGCGTAATTTTGTTCTACTTTCTTTTATTTTTACGAGATTTGTTTTTGGGTTTTGCTATTTTAGTTATGGTTGTTCCGAAGAAAAATGAACATATGCCATTATTAAACGATTGACTTTTATTCCTTGAACATTTGGCTTGCTATGAAAAAAGAAAAATGGGTCTCTTTATGGTGTATCATCTTGTTGTGTTTTGCCAAGTCATACGAGCAACACAAATGCAGCGTCTTTGCTATGGAATTTATGAAGGAGCTGTACAAGATTGATCAATAGCTGGTTGCCTCTTATGGGAATCATTCTTCAGATTTGATCGTAAGCGCGTATCGTAAGATTTGAATGTTAGCCAGCAGATTTCGAAGAATTGGTCCAGCTGATTTCAAGGCAAAACTATTTCTTGGACGGTAAATGACTTTTGAACGAAATGTTTCTTGATTGGAGGTAAAATTCTTCAAAATACCCTTCACAGTCACTGGGCAGCAGTCATTTTATGACCGACTTTAGTTTATTTCCTTAATATTAACCAACTACAGTGCAACTCTTTTTGTTTACGTCCACCGATTGTTCATTTAACAGAACAGTAACTGTCACTTCTCTCGGTCAACGGGCTGCTATTCAGAATTTGAGACGATTTTTTTTAACAAAGACTCTTTCGAAACGTGCAGAATATTCTGAATACAAACCGCCAATAACCAATCACACTTCGAAGGAAACACAATCTCGAAAAAAAATGTTTCAATCCTCTTCCGACTTATTATTGTTTACATTAACCATATAAATTCGTTTCTAAATCACTTGTGGGGTAAGTAACGACACGAACTAATCAACTATACAAGCTTAGAAATGATCCACAACGATTCAGATCGATAAATTGATGGAAAAACGTTATTATGAACATTTCCATCGTATCGTCACTTGAAATGCCGCAATTGAATCAATCCAAATGGACTTCCGTCGACGGGCTTGGATGAACAATTGCCGTTTTACTGCAACTTTGAACAGAAACATTTCCGAATATCCATCAATCCTCTACTACTTTCCCCTCTAATGCATCTTTTATGCACACTCTTCAGCCTAATAGATAGAAATCAATTTTTCATACCAATTCTTCAAATGAAAAAGAAACCGTCTTTATGAAATCGGAGTAGGCTGAAACTCGGTCATTTGAAACTTCATTTTTTTCTTCTTTCGAATGATCACATTTATTGTGCGCGTTTGTTGTGAAATATTTTTTCAACTATAAAAACAAAGCAAAAATTCTGGAATAATATAATAAAAATAACAGCGGCACATAGTTTTCAACATCGAAGTTCTAAGCTATGATGCGACGTTCGTGGGTAAGGTAAGATTATAATACGAACTGTAATCTAGTCAACTACTTTATAGTAATTTTCAACGCTGGCTATTTTCTAAATAAAATACAAATAATGATTTCGATAGAAGATGTGTCTTGCGAAAAATTAGCCTCAGACATTAATTCTAAACTGAACATAAAATTTTGAATAGCTGTGGAAAATGCACTTGAGCTCGAAATTTAATTCGGTTTGGTATTTGTTGTTGCTTACCATTTTTTCAGTAGAAATTTAAATACACAGTGTTTAATACAGATCACTATAATAAAACAATAAATGGTTACTTTACTGTTCCCATTTGGCAGTTTTTTTGATTCTATGCTACGCGTACTTCATTTTTCTCATCAATAATAATGCGCGTTTAATTTTCAATTTATAGTGAATGCTGACTCAGAAGAATTGCAAGAAATTGAACGAAATTCAAGTTTGATTTCCGAAAAAAAAATATCAAAAATAAAACATAATTGAGTTTTTAAAGGTAAATTTTGGTCACAATTGCTGGGACTTCGGAAAATAATTTACTGGTACTTTGCATTACATCTTCCTTACATAAATATCAGCTCAATATGATTCACTAGTCATTGATCTATGTCGATTTTCTCGCTGAATGTATGTTTTTTTTTTAATTTCATAATAGTTTAAAACGATCAAAAGGGTGATCAATGTTTAGATGGAAACATTTATTTCTGATTTCCATATCAATTTCATGAGAGAAAAAAATGTTTCAGTAAGCAAACTCAAATACAAAATTCACTAAGCTTAGACAAAATACTATTTCTCTGTCCTAAATTTTCCGTTATAATTGAAAATAGACACAAATGTTTCGCAACATATTTTATTCGGGCTTGAAAAACGGAAATTTTCTTTTATATTTTTTTTTGTGGATAAAATTGAATCTGACTTTGGTCAGATATATACGGTTAAGGACTTGAGATGTGGTTAATTTATCTTTTAACCTTTTTTCTTAAGATACACACAGCCATCCTATAAATAAAAATGCAGTCTTTTTTGCATACTTTTTTATGTGTAATTTTTTTTTATTTTAAACCAGATTTTTCTCTCAGTGACAAGTTCATTACATCAATTGGTGAGATGTCGTGTTTGGTTAGGATATTAATATCTTCAATAATATCTTTTATCTCATCTAGATAAAAACAACCATTCCCACAAAATATATCTTATCTTTATCTTTTACTTAATTTTTTCTCGCTAATATCTATTGGTCGATTTTAAATAAATTTGAAAACCACTCAATTACGAACTATAACCAGCTCTTTTCTGTATCGTGTTCGAAGTAAATATCACATACAAATATATTTCCACATATGTAATGAATTTGTGGAATTCAGAATTATTCCATAAAGATTCAAATTTCATACAAATTTGGGCGGATACGTGAAACCAACGCACATAAAAATCACACATACATAATTTCCGGTTTTCTCCATTGAATTTGAAATTCATCCTTGAACAAACAATCATTTTAGGTAACCTAAAAATAATGATTAGGATGAGATTTTTGATGTTTGGAACTTGTACCGTCGCCTTCAATTATTAAAAATATTCACAATTATCTGGTTTATCTTCACATGTTAAAACCAGATAGATAATATCTCGACATTATCTAGATACAAATTTTCAATAGGCAACATATAATTTTTTTCAGAAAAATTGACTAAATTATTTCTACGGGTGAGATTGAGAGTAGTGTATGTTTTCTTGACTTATATTTTGATTAAGTAAAGTACGTTTCACTCGTGGTGGTTTTTGGTAATTTTAATTTTACTGACAAAATATATCGAATGGTGTCTTCGCAAAAATTGTTGGTCTTGCCAAACTGTATAACTTTGTTTAAGGCATTTATCGTTTATCAGTTGAAATTGGGGTTTACAAACGTTTTGACAAATACCGCAAACGGTGATATAAAAACGTTATTTTTCTGTAGTGTTTTATTTTGATAGTTCAAAATACCGCAGAAATGACGATAAAAAAAACAAAAAAAAAACGTTTTTTGGGCGTTATATAACGGCTCTGACGCTCTGTAAAAAAACGTTTTTTTGAAACACTGAAAAAAAAAACGCGTTTTTAAACCCCAGTTGAAATGAATAAATCATTTGAAGATTTGGTCATCTCTTCAGAACATACTCTACTTTTTCTAATATAAAGTCTGCAAAACATACACCACCCTCAATCTTACCGATAGATTTGTGTTGAATCGAATGTGACATTCCTTAAATGGTCAAATCGATACACATCTTAACCCTTTCGTGCATACAACCGCCTATGGACGGTCAACATTTGAACGTCCAATCACATGTGATGCTTTCACAAGCAATGCATTGCTTCAGAAGGCATTTTTATTTGTCAATATGTTCCCTATATTCTTCTGCACTATTTGTCTATGTAGTGCGGTTGTTAAGTTATAAATCAGAATGTGCGCGAAAACGAAAATTTGACAATTAATTTAACTTCAAATTTGATGCATGTTTGACATCTTTGAACAACGGATTTGATTGTTCTTTGATTTATGTCTATCGCATATCCCGGGTTAACCCATTAACGCCCAAGCCAAAAAAATTTCGAATTTTTTTGATGAAATTTGTGACGGGTTACTTCTGAGAGTCCAAATAAGATTTTCCCGGAGTTTCAGAATTTTCCGACACGTTTTAAATTTTCACAATTTTCCGGCAACCTTGAAAATCGGGGAAAACATTCTTCAAACCTTTCCTAACACGCATACAAAACGGCATGTGAAAATTTCAAGCCGTTTGATCAGGAAAGAAGAAAATCTAAAATAAGTCATAAAAAATCGGCAATTTTTGCGTCGTCACAATAGGACGTTGGGCGTTAATGGGTTTTAAACATGGGAAATCAGGGATTTTTTTTTCGCCGTCTGTGTTCCAAAATAAACTAAGTACCAATACTCCTAGTCCTGTGAAAAATCAATCCAAGCCGAATATAAGAGGAGGTGCATATAATGCAGTACATATTTTGGTGAACATTTCAATTCTGATTGTTTTTTCTAACTCGAGCGCTTGAATTGTTTTTTATTCTCTGATTTTAAAAATATTTATCAAGTATTATCTTTGCGAAAAAAACTTCATTTTCATATTTTGATTTTAACCCTAGTTCGGCAAATAGTCCCCGACTGACGCTGCAATTTTTTTTCTCATAAAATTTAATTTTTCATTCGTTACTGCTTCCAAAATAGTGCCATTTCTGAATATGCATTTTGTCATATAAATTAACTCATTCTATTACTTTGCCAAACGACCATGTCAGGCAAGAAAAGTATTGGAATCGCTCCAGTTTTTTTAACCCACTTAAAATATTTTTTTACCAGTTTTAATCTAGCGTTATTTTGAGGTAGGTGCGTGGTACACTGTACGCTGTACGCAGAAAATTTGCTAAAACATTTAAAATGTAGAAAAGTTCATCTTCCAGACGTTTAAGACATTTTATTTTTTTACTTTCTACGTTAGCGTTGAAAATGTCTCTTATAATGCACTTATATTTTTGAAAAAAGATAATTTGAACATTCATAATGAGATTATGCGATTAAAAATTGGACCATTTCTTTATTTTCATAATACGATCATAGTTCAAATTATAAAATTCGTCCGTATGCGAACGGTGCAGTGAGACTGCTTCTTCTTCTTAACTAACACATCTATACATGTAAGTCACCATATTGGTTATAATGTTCACAAATGGGTACTCAATACACAGTATACATTTTCAATATGGCCGCGTCCATTGTGTACGACAGTGTGAAGAAGAAGGAGCAGTATTATAAGAAATTTTGTATGGGTTTACATAGGGATGATAAAATTTGCGCGAAATGAGATGCATGGATAAAATTGTCGTAAATTTATGAAAATATTTTCATAAGTATTTGTTTTTAAAGGTGACAATATTGATTATCCAGAAGATGCTGTTTTTTTTCGACTTGGAGCAAAAAATGATGAAATCATTTTACAAAAAAAAATTGTATTCGGTCTGAAATGTTAACTGCACTTGTTCTGAATTTATCTCTGCCCTATCATAGGAATCGTATTCGACAAGAATTTTGTATGTAAAAATTTTCTAGAAGAAAAAGAAATAAATCTTCAAAACAAATGATCGTGGATTTTCCAATGACCAGATTTAGCTTCAATTGCTTTTAAAGTAAAGAAATAATTGACAACAATCTGTTTGCTCAACAATAAAAGACAATTTTCATCATGAAATTCTACTTCAATTTAAAATGGAAAACAAACGTTCCTTCTTAGAAAAAAAAACTTTACAGAAAATAGGAATACTAATATTGTCTCTTCTTTTGAGCCTGCTGAAATTTCTTAGAATGTATTTATTTGTTTTTTTTTCTTTAGACTACTTTTTAATTTAGTAAATTACGGAATTTCTGTTTGATTATTTTCATTTTCTTGAAATTCCGATAGGAAATTTCAAGGGACTTGATTTAAAATTTAAATAAAAAAGGCAGATTGAGAATAAATCATTTCTTCCACTTTGATGAATTTTAATTGATGAATATCTAACAAAAACAGGATGAAGAATGTTCTTATCATAAATGAAATTATTACCGACCTGATAGGAACTGTTTGAAAGGGAAACCAATCTATTAGATTAATTTTTTTTTAACATGTTTGTTCGTACACTGCGTTTCGAAATGAATATATTTTTAATGGGCTTTAAATGGATGAACTTGAATTTCGTGACCTTGGGTTCTGATGAATAATCTACATTGTCTCTTTAATTTTTTGTTACAGATTAAATGGATCATTGAAAAGCAACTAGATTTTTATTTCAAAAAACCTATCTCTTCAATAAATCGGTAGAATCGACATATTCAAAAATTCACTTGCAAAATGAGCGTCATAATACGGCTACAGAATTTGCCATGGTCTGCAAATGCCACAGACATTCGCCAGTTCTTCAAAGGTTTGGGAATACCTGATGGCGGTGTTCATATTGTTGGCGGTGAAAACGGGGATGCATTTATAGCTTTTGTGTAAGTTGTTAATATTTCGTTTCTTATTGAATTCTTGATGACATAAAAGTGCACGCCTGTAATAAAATGCAGCCAGCCAATGCTATTTTCGTCTAACTGAAATCCTCTTTATGTACAAATTGAAACAGTACCGATGATGATGCAAGAAAAGCAATGCGTTTGGATGGAGGAAAATTGAAGGAAATTCAAGTTCGATTGTTTCTATCTTCACGGGCTGAAATGCAAGAGGTGATTGAAACGGCCCGTCAAACGACTATGTCACTTATGCAAATGCAGCGACAACCAACGATTGCTGCTCCAGCCATAGCACCGCCAGCCGTTCTAACGCCTCAATCTCCTCCTCAAGTAAGCCTTGCTACAGCCATTCAAAAGAAAATCCCACCAACTCTACCGACCCAGTTGCCCGGCTTGATCACACAACAAATGTATCAGCAACAGATTCAAAATTTACATCAACAGGTGAATACAGCCTCGTGTCTTTTAATCATTTATTATTGACAATTAAAACTAATAAATACTTCGAATCTTCTATAGAATCCTGTGAATGCTCTAAATGGCTTACCTCCAAAGGTTAATGAATCGCTCGATTTAGTTAGCAGTCGACGTAGTCGCCGGTCTCGTTCTCGTTCACACTCTTATTCACGTGATTCGAGGTCGCGTAGTCGTTCGCGCTCACCATCACGCTCTCGTGATCGTTATAGGCGCCGGTCACGCTCACCACGACGAAATAAGGTTTGTACTGTCTTACATAATTCTTTTAAGTTTTAAGCGTTAAGCATTCGACTTTTACTGATTCCAATGTAATTATCAAAAAAAAAATTAGGGTCGATCACACAGGGACAGAAGTGATAGCCGTGATCGAGATCGTCGTCGTAATCGAACATCATCCCGAAATGACAAAGACTACAAAGACTTGGGCCGAAATGGAAATGATAAGCGGTTAAGTGTCGAGATCGAGCCAAAGCCAGCACCAGCTCAAAATCCAATAAATCCCATGAATTCGTTGTATCAACAAAATGTACCGTTTAACAGTAACATTTCACAGTATATGATGAAGCAAATGAACAATCCGAATGCAGGGGCTATGAATCCATTGAGCCAAAGCGAACAAATGAGTGCATTTTCAACCAATGATGTGCGCACTATGAACATGAACATGACATTGCAAACGAATCCATTAGCTTTTCAGCAACAATTGTACAATCAGCAAGCGGTTAGTATGCCTGCATTTAACACCTTCTCACAGGCGGGCGGTGTTCTGCAAAATGCTCAACAGCATCAACAGCAACAATTGACAGCAGGTATGTCTAGTCAAATGAATAAATTCGGCATGAACAACGGTATGGGTGGTCCACACAATGGAAACAACACAATGGTAAATGTCACACACTGTGTTAGGGTGCGAAATTTGTGCAACTTGACCAATTATAGCGCGATTCGAAAATTCTTCTCCGGCTTATTGATACCCAACGATGGCATCAAAATGATAAATGACACGGATGGCAATCGAACTGGGCAGGCTTATGTACGTTTTGCTCGGCCGCATTTTGTTCAGTTGGCTATTCAACGAAGTAATCAAAAACTGGGCAGAAATGTGATAAAAATCGAAGACATCGATGAAAAGGCATACGATGATGCCATCGATGCATATCGACCACCACGCCGCAACAACTACCATCGAGACCGCGAACACCGCGATCGAAGATACAGAAGGAACAGCCGGGATAGCCGTGATTATAGCGATGATGACGACGACGACGATCGAAGTAATTCGGATAATGAGCGTGACAACGATGTAATGTGTATTTCTGATTCGAATGATAGCAAGGAAGCAGCTCCGTTTACAACAGTTCTGATCGAGGATTTGCCGCCATTTACCAAGGAGCAAGACATCATGAAATTGTTCTCGTCCTATCCCCTCGTACACATTGTCATGGCTAAACGGCCGAAAATGTTCTCGTCATATGTCAAATTTCACAGTGCTGACGATGCCAAAGCGGCCGTTAAAAACACCGCTTGTCACAAAATTACGTTCAAAACGGTGTACATTTCTGCTTGTAGTGAGGAGGAATTTGAAACGGCTCGCAAAGAGTTCAGCGGTGAACTGGACCTAGACATTGGAATGCCTAAACCGGTTGAAGAGAATAGTCAATCGAGCGATAGAACTGCACCAAACGAAATCAAAAGCCCAAATACTTCGATGCAAAATGTTGAATATCTAAATGAAGGCTCCAATGAAATGTCGGATCCAGTTCCTGGTGTTTCATTGGAAAATATTCCCGGAGTCAATCTAAATGATCCGCGTATTAATCCAGCGAAATTCCCTTTTTTGAAAAATATGAACACCGATGTATCGCATTCCGAACGCATCGATCCACGTACCAAAACCGCTGTTCAAGTGCCGGTGAACACATTTCCTGGCATTGACGTTGCAATGGCTACGCAACAACAGGCTATGATGGATATGAGCATGTCCGAAGTGTGCTGTATTCTCATTGAAAACATGGAATATCGCACAACTGAAGCCGAAATCGTTGAATGGATACAAAACAAGGCAAATCTCACACCAGTTCGAATTCAATTGCTGGTCAACGAACGCAACCAAACCAATGGAAATGGTTTTATTCAGTTTGCCAATAGCGAGCAGGCAACAAAAGCCACCGAACTGCTGGATAAGGCTCAGTTCAAATCACGGGTCGTGCACATTTCATTGGCACCATGGCAACAAATTGTTGCGACGATTCAAAATATCACACAGGTTTTGCGCGAAAATGGTTTCGATGGCATTGACACATCGGGAAATATACCGCGTCCACGTTTCAATAACAATAATGCCAACAATCGATTCCCGAATAACAATCGATTTAATAACAACGGCAACAATCGCATGCAAAATAACCGACAGAACAACCGCAATGGCGGCAATTTCAACGGATGTATTGTTTCGATGACAAACGTACCGTACAAAGCCAGTGTTGATGATATTCTTGATTTCTTCAGTGACTTCGATGTTGCGGCAGATGATATCATTCGTCGATACAACGATGAAGGCAAACCCACTGGCGATGCTAGAGTACGATTCGAATCACCGTCCGAGGCAAGACGCGCTATTGATCAACGGGGCAATTGCCGACTTGTTAATCGACCCGTTTTCTTGCAACTGTTTAATAATTAAGTGTTTTATCATTTTTGATTAGGAAGATTTAAGTATTTATCTTAAATTTAATATCTTACTTGCTCACCAGAAGCAGAAAAACCATTATTTTCTATGGTTATTTGTTTGTTTTTTCAATCAAAGCATATTCCATTTCTTACACATACATCTATGTACATATTTTCGGATTAAAAAGAAATTGAAAAAAGTGAAAAGACTTGACCTTGTTTTTATTATTCAGTTTATTATTCTTCAATTAGCCCAACATTACCAGAGTAAAAAATAATTTTATTTTAGAAAATATATTGAAAATACTCACTTTTTTCTCGAATCAATACAATGAATTGGTATAAATAAAAGGTAAAAGGAAAAGAGTTTTGCGTAACCAAGTCGACAGATGGCGCTGTGGTCAATCAGTATGTAGCCATATTGATGTTTTCGCGCGCTTTGACATCAGTCAAAATTCACTACACAACCAAACACGTTCGCTGTGATTTTGCATTCAGTTTTTGTTTATTCTTTTGAAAAGTTAGGAAAATATCTTTTCGAAATGACTGACATTGAGATGACGATGGACGTGGGCCCAAGCACAAGTGGTGCATCATCAAAGCCAAGCGACACAGCACGAAAACAGCATTTACCATGGTAAGTATTTTGATAGCCGGTAATAATAATGTTTGATGATTCAGTAAACCCAATTCTACAACTCAAATATTCGCAATTCTATTTTGCAGGATTGAAAAGTACCGTCCACAACGTTTCGATGAAATTGTTGGCAACGAAGAAACCGTGTCTCGGTTGAGTGTATTTGCCACAAATGGAAATGCACCAAATATCATCATTTCGGTAAAATGTGCATTTTAACCATTGCCTATGCGCATTCTAATTACAACCAATTTTTCTATTAATTACGATAGGGACCACCCGGTGTGGGAAAGACTACAACCATTCTATGTTTGGCACGAATCTTGTTGGGTCCAAATTTTCGCGAGGGTGTACTTGAGTTGAATGCGTCAAATGAACGTGGTATTGATGTCGTTCGTAACAAAATCAAAATGTTTGCCCAGCAAAAAGTATCGTTGCCAAAAGGCCGTCACAAGATTATTATTCTCGATGAAGCCGATAGTATGACAGAAGGTGCACAGCAAGCACTGCGTCGAACCATGGAAATCTACAGTGATACAACGCGTTTCGCACTGGCATGCAACACAAGTGAAAAGATCATCGAACCGATTCAGTCACGCTGTGCCGTACTTCGTTATTCGAAACTTAGTGATGCACAAATTCTGGCCAAAGTGATTGAGGTGTGCCAGAAAGAAGATCTTGGTTACGATAAGGAGGGATTGGAAGCGGTTGTTTTCACCGCCCAGGGCGATATGCGTCAAGCGCTCAACAATCTTCAATCAACGGCAAATGGATACGGTTATGTTAGCGCTGAAAATGTGTTCAAAGTATGCGACGAACCACATCCAATGCTCATTCAGGATATGTTAACGCACTGTGCTGAAGGTGATATACACAGGGCGTACAAAATTCTGGCAAAACTATGGCGATTGGGCTATGCGGCTGAAGATATCATCGGAAACATTTTCCGTGTGTGCAAGCGCGTTTCGATCAACGAAAAGATGCGATTGGCTTTCATCAAGGAAATCGGTCAAATGCACATGAAAGTTGTCGACGGTCTCAATACATTGCTGCAAATGTCCGCACTATTAGCACGACTCTGTGAACTCTCCTATGAATATCGATGATTCGGCACATCAACCATTCATTCGTCTCGATTAACCATCGATCGGTGACATTATATCGCTGTTCATGAATTCCAAAATCATTTTTTTGTCATTTTTTTACTCATAAATATAGTTTACTTTCAAAAATCTAATTATTTATGTTTTTGCTTTCACTTGAAGTTATAAAATTGTTTAGGACTTCGATCTTCAAACTTGACATTATGAAATGTCAGAAATTGCGCCAAAACAGCTAAATGGTAATCTGTCAAACTGAAGTTTTGTTTTGTTTATATGTTTGAACTTGAAAAATGAACACCACGGCTGAACAACAATCACAAATAGGTGATGAAGAGGTAACATTTCATTTTAAGCAAGCGGAATAGTTTAAGACTTGAAAATTGAGTGATTAATTTAGACAATAATTTTAGATCGAAGGGCTGGTTAGATCATTTTCACAATACCGTGAAGTAAATTCTCAGGCAGTTTTCGATCCAGAAAGTCAAAGTTTTGTTATTGAAAGTCAAATAGATGAATCGGAGGCGCCTGTAAAATTGGATTATCAGGCGGAGTTTTTGAAGTGCATGGGACTCAATGAAACCGATATTGAACAATATACATCCAAAGCAAAGTTGAATCACGAAGTGAGCACCCAACACGAGCTAAATTCACAGACAGATGCAGAGGCTAACATCAGAACGTTCATGACTGGAAACCCATATTGGAATCAGAATATAACAGCTAAAGTAAGGAATTATTGCACTTGAATGAAAACAATTGATTTTTTGGAACGATTTGAATTCAAATCCAAAAAAAAGTTCACTAAACCAGGAACCCAGATAGTGCGTTTGATTTTAAAATCTTTCCAAGAAATATTTACTCGAATTTTGTACTGGAAATTTTTTATTTCTTCATTCGATTGAATAATGGTTTATTTCCTTTTAGCCTCTAGATTTGGCAGCGTTTTTGGAGAATCGTGAATATTTTGTGGCGATAAAAACCGGTACAAATAATGAGCCAATCCAACCGGTAGGTGTTAGTGGTGGTGAAACAGTAAGAGGGAACAATAATCGTCATTGTCGAATTTTCACACTGGGTCCGTTGCCTCTGGACATAGAAGACATACTCAAAATAGTAATCGATTGCGATGAAGCTCAAGTTTGGCGGAGCTATCAGAAGATCTACGGCCAGAATTTCAAAATGGTGATGCTTTATGGACGGTGCAAGCCATTCGGTGGTAGTATCAACTCACAAAAGGGACGAAATGTTAAACTGTACGAAGTTGATGATGGCAGCGGAATGGTTGTTGTACATTTTCCACATTATGACAGCAAATATTCGGGTATGAAATTGATTTATGTTCACAAATATTCCTATGAATCTATTTTAGTCCAATGTTTTATTTTTCATTTTCATTCCTGTCGATTAGCTCTAACTGATGGAATAAACCGTATGCTTGAGGAATACGCTTTGGTCCAAAGAGAAGGGATTGCATTTTTGGGGACGTCGCACTATGGACCAAGAACAGCAAGATGCAAGAAAATGCTAAGCAATTTGAACATCATACTTAATATGATAAGGCAAAATGGTTCCATCAAGCAAGAATTTTTCACCCATGGCTGCAAAGTGTGCGTGATTGGCCGTGTGTTTAGGCACAGTGATGGTACAAATCATGTGTTTGCATATGACATGATAGAAGATGCGGGCATGAATCGTGATTTTGAAATCAAATTCAAGTTGCATTTGTTGGATGTGTACAAAACCAAATATTTGAAGTACCAAATTACTGGCGAGCCACTGGAAACAACAAGAGCGCGCTCAAACAATTTCTAGACGAATGAAAATAGTTTTGAATTTTTATGGGTCTTTCATGTCAGGGAAATCACTTCACTCTTATAATTTACAATTATTATGGATCGTTATGAAAACTTAATGATGCTATTTTTCATTAATTCCCCATAACATTTCATCCATTGAATGATGATCATTCCATATTTTTGCACCAAAAATAAAGTGATTTCGCCGAATGTTGTATTCAAATGATGATCCAGAAAATTGACATGCAAGCTATTTGGTTTCTTTGTTCCATGTTCGATTTTTCAAACTCCTATTTAATAACATTACACTTGACGTACATTTTTCATTTTACCCTAGTCTTACACCATAAACCGCTTAGCTTATATATTAATAAATTTATAGACATATTTTTTACAAACAGGTTTACTTAACGCTAGATTTTTTGTTGATAAATAAAAGCTATTTGTATTCACAATGGTTTGAATTTCATTATTTGTTTGTTTGGTCCGTCGGTAGATCTATGGTACGTGGATTTTGTGTTTCCTTATCGTCACAGACGCGTCTTGAGCATGTGAGTATGTTAATGAGCATCAGGATATACAAAACGAATCATTTTGATTGGAAATTTATATAAAAAAAAGAATGTCTCTCACATTAAACCATTTTTGTCGGCATTCCATTAACGAAATGCTCGGTGTGCACTGATTTCTTCGATGACCGTTGAGTGGCGTATTTGTTTGTTTTACTTCGAACCTTAATACATTTTTTGTTTCATATGAACCTTCATGTGAACCGGTTTCAGCAGACTATTGATCACTTTACTGTTGCCTTCAAACCGTAGTATTCGCCGCACAATATATGCTGTGATAACAACAATTGCGATGAACAGTGCGACCACATCTAATAGATAATACTGAACGAAACTGTCGGTTTTTGTGAGAAATGAGGGAGAAAAACCAATATTAATAACGATATTTGGACTAAGTGTCATTTGAATGAGTGGCTTTCTATACCTATAGTTTCGACTCGGTGATTGCAAATGATATGCGCCATTGTGACGAAGTACGTATTCTGTCCAGTAAATGGCTGTGTCAAGCGGCGTTGTCCTTTGATCTAATAAAAACCGTTGCAGTTTCCTAATTCGAATGACGAATGAAACTTTCGTTAAAAACAAATCTTTTCCCATTAATACATAAAATCAGAAACAAACAAAAAAAAACTGAGCACTTACTTAACCGCTTGTCGATAGCGTTCATCGTGGATCACTTTTAAGATGCCCTTGACTTTGAATGGAAATGTATAAAATTTGATATGAAAAATTCAGAACGAAAATAATTTTGGTTCAATATCAGGAAACTTACTCAATTTATCCGATGACAAGGTTTCCAAATCGAGCCGAAGTGCGTATCCATCGGCCACCGCTTTGGCAGCATTAACGTCATGATCACAGAATACAGGCATCGTAACGAGCGGTACACCATGATAAACACTTTCAAACATTGATAATAGCCCACCATGTGTAACAAACGCACGCAACTTTCGATGACCTATTTGAATGATTTGAAAAACGATTGCGGTTTTTCCCATTTAAATATCGATTTCAGTGTCAAACCAATGTGCATAAATTATGCAGAAAAAAAAACAAATTAAAATGAAAAATAGCACAACAAGTTTTATTTCTATCTCTCACCGAGTAGGTCTTGCTGTGGTAACCAGGCTCCGATTTTTACATTTGACGGCAAGTCCTTCATGTCGGCAACGCTACCATCATACTTCCAAATCACTCTATATGGAATTTGGGCAAATGTACGGATGAATAATTTCCGCAAATGTTCTGGCATTTTAGCCGCTTTGACCGACGAACCCATCGACACATAAATAAAACCGGACTCACCGGAACCCATGACGAATTCTTCTAGTTCCTGTACAATGTACCATATGGACAGATCGGTTAAAATACATTGTCATAATTTAATATGTAAGTAAATGCTGGGTAAATTGTAAAAAAAACCGGAACTTATTTTGACCAATAAAAACGAAATATAGTTGAGCAACAGACAGAAAATGAGATAACGCTAAGAAAATAAAACCAGCCAAAATTGACGTTATTTTGTTTGAGGTGGTACTCATAAAAGGTACGCACACAGCAACCACAACAGCTGAAATAAGTAAAGAAAGGGAAAAAAAATATTGTGCATGAAATGCGATTAATTACTTTTGGCAATGGTCGAGCCGGTTTGCAGTGGATGCACGCAATTTCTGCAACGTTTGGTAGCAATGGTCGTGAATATGATACACTTGAATGGCCATTTTGCAGTATAAAACTAACGTTACGCGTTAAATCATACACATTCGGTACATCACCGCCCAAATGATTCCGAACGACCGATTGCAACAATAACATCGATACCTAAAACGGAAAACATATTTCGTAAAACTCCTATTGAATAAAAATGAATGAACGAACGAGTAAGAAAGAAAAATAAACTGTAAAAATTATGTTAATAGCAAATGATGCATGGACAGTTTGAAGGAGTATGTGAGTGAATAGAGAGGTACATTGCAGATGACGGCAGATACGACAAACGAAAGAAAAACAGCGCACACACGACCAATCAATATCGTTTTGATCCGGTGCTGAACAAATTTGAGAGACACAAAACAGGTATACCAGCTACAAACTGTTTAATTGACTCATTAAACGCGAGTAAACGGCAATTCACAATCTCTAATCGGCCGGATCAATTCCAAACGTAATGATGAACGAAACAACAAATTGAAAAACTATAGAAGAAATATGAAGAGAGAGAGAGAAAGAGAGAAAGAGAGAAAGAGAGAACAACAGGCGGCAACTATGCTGCGTACAAAATGTTTATGTGAATATGCGTTGCACGTATGAAAATCCAGACGAGAGTGCATTCATTCCTTTATGCACGTAAAGCCGAAACGGATAAGAGTTAATTGACGATTACGCAACGCTTTCATACGCACACCGGATTAGAAATATCATGAATAGCAACGACATCAGCTCAACGCCATGAATATTGCCTCTAGTATTCTTTTTGTGTGTTTGCACTATGCGGAATGTTGTTGTTGTTATTCGCACATTCAATAAAAACCAGTAGCGCAGTGCCGTTCAAGAGAATGTGATTTTACACATTACTATATTTAGACACGAGATTTACTGCACGTATGCGCCGAAGAACCCGCCGTTTTTGCTGCTCTTTCAATTGATCGCCGTTGATTTGGGTTAATTTATGCAGAAAATGGAGAAAAAATAGCGCGTTGTAAAACTGAATGTGTGTGTAATAAAAATATAACATTGACATCATTCTCGAGTAGTGATTTTCTAGAATTTTTCGTCAACGTAATTGACAACCTGTTTGATTTGAAAATGAAAGTGGCATGCGTGTGAATGAAGCTTTTTATCCGTACACATATCCATATATCTATGGAGTATATGGTTTGAATGTTTTTGTCTCTCCTCGCATTGCATTTCTTGAAAATCGAGATGCAAGGTAAGTTGAAAAGTTTGCGTTTACATTTACGTTTGCGTTCGCGTTAACGGAAATCATAAGAATGTCGCAACATCTTACCCGATGAACTGAATAGGCGAACAGTGTGTACATAGTGTTCAGGAATCGTTGATACAAATTCATTTCGTCGGTGAATGAACTGAAGAAGATTGGGGTCGTTGAAAATGGTGTTGGATTGCCAGCCAACGATAAACTGCCTGTATACAATCCGACTGTGTTGATCATCATGAATGGTGCACGGAATGCATGCACCAAACTGACGGCACATTCCGGAAACGCTCCATCCAATATTACCAATTCAAAGTGTCGATTCAGCAAATTCTTCGTTTCAGCATCGTTGAGCATTGCATCACAAGACTGCAAATACAGATCATAAGCATCAGTGAATCGATAATGATTGTTCGTACATACACTGTGGTACAAAATAAAATACCTCAAATGCAAAACGCATCACATCCCAAACACTGTATGGCAATTTGCCATCCATTCGCAGCCCAACCAAATCCCAATTTGTATAATTTTGTATGTACTCCGACAAACCAGCTGGTGTTATCTCATGCAATCGGCTGTCACTGTAGTCAGCTGGAAATCCACTCAAGAATGTTATGTTATGCCCTCTGGAATTTTTGTTATATTGATTACGCTTCACGAACAACAACGACCAATTTTGTATGCAGATGTCATGAGAGAGTTTTATTTTGGTTGGAGCTTTACAATTGTGTGTGTGTGTGTGTGATATAATTTCGATGTGTTTCGTTTTTACCTTGGAATAAGACCTTTGGCCAGCTCAAGAAATGGGATCTTGTGCGATTTAGTTCCACCCATTGTCACCATCAGAATGTCGGCGGTCAAAGAACCGCCGATCCCAGCAAATATCAACAATAATACGAAATTCATATTCATTCTAAAATAGTAAATTGATCATGTCATTATTACGCATTGGAACGAAATGATAAACAAAAAGTTTCAAATAAAATTAAGATCATTATTATTGGCCGCATAACTCTGCTGTGCACCTGTTAACCAAAACAATTGATTATTATTGTTGTTTGCTCGAATAGTTTTTCCCTTTGTACCACACGTCGATTTCAATGACCAATCAATTTTGCTCCATGATGAAGTGTTTCTGACTTCAAAGAGCAATTGAATGTCCGAGAATGAAAACGCAACTTCTATTCACAACACATATAA